TATGGTGATGGGAAACCCGCAGGGATTACAACTGAAATGGAAAAAATAATGTACAAAATGATGTAAAAATAAACTGTTATAAAAAAAAATTCTCCACACTGGACCTTCCTTGGTGGTGCACCGGGTTAGGATGCAGCACAGCAGGTGAGCAGCAGCCGCTTCAGTGTGAGTTTGTCAGGCCACCCTGAAGCTGACCCACATGGCCCCGCAGACCTCTCCTGACCCGCCTACTGCTCCCCTCAGCAGTGTACTTCATCCATCTGCCTGTTCTGCTCCCCACTCTGTCCCTGGTGAATCCTCTCACCACCACCCCCAACATCTGGCCTATACACCACTTCTTGTATGCATAAATAAATAAAAATAAATATTTAAAAAGTAATTCTTCACATTGAAATGTTATTTTAATGTGACAAATTACTAACTTGCTCTGAAATAGCACAATTCTAAGCAGCTTCTTTAAAATAGTTTGAAATGGCTTTTTTAAAAGTCTTATTGAAAAAAAGATTTATTTATTGATGCATACAGAACTGAGGCCAGAGGTGCAGGGGGTGAGAGGGTTCACTATAGCCAGAGTGGGGAGCAGAATAGGCAGATCGACAAAGTACACTGCTGAGGGGAGCAGCTGGCAACACAGAAGAGGTCTGCTGTGCCATGTGGGTCACCTCCCGGGCAAGCGAGCAAACTCGAACTGAAAAGGCTGTGGCTGGCTAGCAGTGCTGTGTCCTAACCCGTTGCATCACCAGGGAGGGCCTGAATAGATTTTCGATACTTTATTATCTGTTGTCCTGGAATTGTTTTGTTCCATAGGCGTATAAGAGCTTTTCCCTATGGGCGGAGAAAATATATTTCAAAGGGAGAGGAAATCAAAATTGGGGAAATCACAGGGTAACAGATTCATACCTATAAAATATTAAGAAAACTGGGGTCTCCCTGGTGGCGCAACACGGCACAGCACTGCAAAGCTAGCTGCAGCCACTTCACCACTGGTTCGATGCCAGACCTGGGAGTTGACCCACAGGGTGCATCAGACCTCTCCTGTCTCACTCACTGTTCCCCTAAGCAGTGTACTCCTTCAATCTGCCTGTTCTGCTCCCTCTGTCTCTGGTGAATCCTCACTGCCCCTGCACCTATGGTCTGTACGCCAATTCTGTATGCATAAATAAATCTTTTAAAAACATATTAAGAATACACATTTGCAGGGAAACCAGAAGTTTCCACCATTTCCCCAGAGTTCTAACTGTAGCAAAGAGCATTACTTTCACCTATGTCTCCTTAGTTTGATGTCATAGTTTGGCAAAGTTACATTTTTCATGTGCAAATGCTGTGTATACAAAATATGATTTCCAATTGCTTTGTTTTATGTACACCTTTTGAGCACCTTTTCATTTAACATGAATTATGCCCTGTGTATATGGCATTTGAAGCTTTTAGTATATAAAAGTAATGAATATTCCTTTCCTTATGGCCTGTCAGAGAGACAGATGTAAACTGAAAAAAACAACGGCACATGTGATAAATTTTGAACACAGAGAATGAAGTCCTTCATATGGCCTAGAAAAGAGAGGTGATCAGGGAAAGCTTCCTGAAAGAAGTAGTATGTGAATTGTGCCTTCAAGACTGGATAGAATGTATTTAGAAATTGTAATAATGGCATTTATGTGTATCATATATGTGTGTAAACACAGGAACACTAAAAGTGTTTTTGAAGTGAGTACTTTGGGAAGCATTCTTTTAGACTCCTGCCACCCAAGACTGTCCCTAGCAAGCCCACGAGGACAAAAACCAAGGTACACTGGCTAACCTCTGCATCCGTTTCAGATCTTCCAACCATCTCGTTGACATGACTGGAATTACATAAGCAAGCCCAGTCAAAGCTAGCTGGAGAACCATCAATCCACTGAATCTCGAGGTTGTTTTAAGCCACTAAGAAGGAAAATGAACCAGAAGAAGAGTTTACTGAGTGGAGAGGGGAAAGGCAAGGCAAACTTGAGCAGGACTTGAGGAAAGCAAAGGTATAAAGAAGAAAAGGAACCTTTATTTCCTGTGGCCTCCTTCCCAAGTTGGAACTGAAATAGGGGAAATGTGATTGTCATAGGAACCCTGAACCCTTTGCTGCCCCTGTGTTGACTGGAGTCTCCCTGCCAATCGTTAGCCCAACACTATCATGTAATGTACTATACATTTTCTGAGTATGTTTGCTGTTATGTTCTTATGCCCATGCAGCCCTGTGTCAGGAGATGGGTTGGCGTACACTTTACTTTTTTTTTTTTAAGATTTATTTATTCATGCGTACAGAACTAGGGTACAGGCCAGAGGTTCAGGTGCAGTGAGAGGATTCACTGGAGACAGAGTGGGGAGCAAAACAGACTGAGGAAGTACACTGCTGAGGGGAGCAGCAGGCAAGACAACAGAGGTCTGCTGTGCCATGAGGATCACCTCTGAGGCTGGGGATCGAACTAGCATGGAGGTGGGGCTTACAATGCTGTGCTTTAGCCCACTGTGGCACCAAGGAGGGCCCACACTTTACTTTTTAATGCCACTTCCTCTCTCTGCTGCAGGTACCCTCCTTGGAGCCATGTCATACAGTAAGCCTCCTCACCTATCTTTTCTCCTCATCGATCTCTCTCCCTTCATTGCAGAATGACTTGGGAAGCACCCCCAGTTTCCTGTTTCCCTTCATACTTCCATCAATCTGGCAGCTTTTGTGGGCACATGGTATCTCTGTTCCTTGACTGTCTCATCTTCAATAATTTTCCCCTCCATCCCACCTCAGCCATTCTTTTTTTAAAAAATATTTTTATTTATTTATTTGTGCATACAGAACTGGAGTACAGGCCAGAGGTGTAGGGGCGGTGAGAGGATTCACCAGAGACAGAGTGGGGAGCAGAACAGACTGACTGATGAAGTACACTGCTGAGGGGAGCAGTGGGCTGGTCAGGAGAGGTCTGCCGCACCATGTGGGTCACCTCCTGGGCAGGCAGGGATAGAACTCATGCTGAAGTGGCTTTAGCTTCTTAGTGCTGTGCTTTAACCCGCTGCGCCACTAGGGAGGGCTCCCACCTCAGTCATTCTTGCAAGAGATCTTCATCTGAGACTATTCCTTAAGACATTCATCTTTGAGGAGAACCTCAACTTTCCTGTCCTCTTCTTATCAGTGTTTTTCATTACACCTGTTCCAAGATCTCAGGCCAGTGACATGAACTTTTCTAGAATTCTCTTACTTTTCCAGCATCTGTTCTGTAAACTCATGTTTTGAGCACTTATAACTGCTGAGGTCTTAAATTGCTTGACATCATCACATAGGTCTGGCAAAACTGTATCCTTGGATTAACCCAACTTTTTCCTCTTGGATTTCCTACATCCTGACTGCTCAAACTAAAAATAGAAAAATCACACAAATCACTACTTTAGGGTTATCATAAATTCAGAGACTCTCATTGAGGAGCTCAACATTGCCTTTGAAATTCTACCACATTTCCTTCCTATTCCACAGGAAATAGCCACAGTGACTACCTTAAACTCACAGTCAAGTTTGACTATAATGTTCATGAGGGTGAAGCCTCTTGACTTTTTAGACATTCTTACTGGGCACTCAATGAGTGTCTTTACTGAGCAGTAGTAATATTGGTAAGCCTTTTATGTAAACGCCAGGCCATATTCTATGTGACTTCATGCATCAGTTCATTTAACCTCCACTTTCCTTATTTTAAGGAAATCTAAGAGGCAGCTTGGAGCTGCCTCTTTTATGTAAACGTCAGGCCATATTCTATGTGACTTCATGCATCAGTTCATTTAACCTCCACTTTCCTTATTTTAAGGAAATCTAAGAGGCAGCTTGGAGCGAAAGCCTGAAGTCCTAAAACCTCCACGTAGTTGGGGTATTCAGTCCCTAAACACAGTAAGCACCTAGGAGCCAGGCGCTATATATAGTCTGAGAGACAATCAGACAGCTGTGCTTAAGGTTGAGAGACATGAAAACGAAATATAATCTGTGGGATGGGACAGATAACCTGATCTCAGAAGAGAAAACAGTCAACTTTGATGACACCTTTTGTTTTGACAGCGCCTCCAACCAGCAAGGAACTGTGGGCGGGTAGGAGCCTATTCAGGTGTTAAGGGACACCTTCCCTGTGGGAGCTGCTATCAATAATGTATTTGAAAACAGGGGGGTGGGTCCATGTGTATTTGTTGGTGACTTTATCACCGAGTAAAGATCCCCCAGAGCTGAGATTCTGCCTTGACAATTTTTTTCTCGTGACAAGGTCATTTAGAGTGAGAGCTCCTGGACTCTCAGGCAGGAGCTATGTTCTTCCTCCTTCACAGAGACGTCTACCACCGATTGCCACCGACAGAGGCCACACATACCAAGCTGGTGTTCTGTGCCACCCCTCTTACATCGCAGGGAAACCACCTTTGTGGTCTCTTCTCTGCAATTCTTAAGAAAGGCAACGATCGTCTCCATTTTACAAATAAGAGTAAGAGCATTTACTAAGTGTTTATTATGTGTCGGCACTGTGCTACATGTTATTCAAGTATCATCTGTACTAGAGTCTCTCCGCAATGCTGTAAAATCGGAAATGCTTTATGGATGGGAAAACCGAGGGTTAGAGGGACAAGTGCCTTGGCTGGGGGTTCACAGCAAGTTACAGCTGCCTTGAAACTCATGTCTGACTAAGCGGTTAAGCGGTCTCAGCACTCATTTCTGAATAAACTGAGGATCACATCTCCGTGGAAGAGAGAAGGAAGGAGTCGATTCGAAGCAAAACACAAATATCGATTTCACCCACTTTAAGTTCAGGGCTCAGCTGAGAACGCCAGGCTCGCTTCACATCTCTGACCCAGACCTCACCCCGCGCCTGGGAGGTTGCGCGCATGCGCCGGCCTCCAGTTGGCCCCGCCTCTCGGGAGGGCTTGGCTCCGGCTCTCGGCTCTGGGGCTTGCGCACTACGTCCCCAGCCGGCGCCTTCTTCCAGGTCAGGGACTTCCGGTGCGCCGGGTGCGGTTCCGGGTCGCGGCGCGGCTCGGGGCGACAGGGCTGCTGCTTGGCCGGCGAGCAGCGGCGAGCGGCGGGGATATGAGGGCGAGCCCGGAAAGCGGTAGCTGAGCCGGCCGGGAGGAGCGCCAGTGCCAGAGGATTCCGAGAGTGCGCAGTTTGGGGTTAGGGGCCGGGAGGCTTGGGCAGCCGGGCCCTCTTCTCAGGAACGTGTCCCGGGGCCGATCCGGCCCGTAGAGTGGCAGCAGCTTCAGGTAAAGGTTGCCCCAGCCACTAGTACCCTCTCGCAGCTGGCCCGAGGAGCTTGGCGGCACCCCGCTCCCCTCAGCGCTCGGCATTGCCCTGCGGGCAGCTTGTGAGACGGGCAGCTTGTGAGACGGGCAGCTTGTGAGGCCCGTGCTCTGGGTTGCTTGTGAGCATCCGTTTCCTGGCCCTGTCAAGAACTGGAAGCAGCTGTGAGCCTGACAGCTGGATGTGTGATTTGGGGAAGGAGAAGCTTGTGCACCTGACAGTGTCGGTGGGGGAGGGTACTGGTGTTTAGTGTCGGCGCCTGCGGTCCCTTGGTCCCTTCCCCTTGCACTCGACAGCATCTTGGTGTCCTAATTCTCATACTATGAAGATCAAGTTTTTAAAGCATCAGTCCCTCTTTCCTAGCACTATTTCTCTCCGAAACAGCCTCGTAGTTTTTTCCCCTTGCTGGAACTTTGATTCAGCTTTTTGTTGATGGGAGTGACGAAGACAGATCTCGCTGTCTTCTAGATCTGTTTAAGACTGAGAAATGAATGCTTGTAGTTTAAATAAGAGCATTCCTTTAACCAGAGATCCTAAAATTGCCTCAGAAGTTGGTTAAAAATTTAATTCTGAACGAAGGGCAAGTAATTTTGGAAGCCAAGCACAGTATCTGGCACTGTGCAAAAGCATGTCATAAGCCCAAACCAGCGAGTTTCAAAGCTTCCCTAGGTGTGAGCAGTCAATTAGAGACAGGTATATATACACATCGGTTAAAACAAAGTCAACATTCTCAGTCTATTTTTGATAAGCAAAAGGATTGGATTCCCAGTTAAACTCACTAGAGCAGAAATAGGAGGCCCTGTGTTTTTTAGTAATTATATTCTGAGCCCACACTGGTGCTTAGTAAACAGCAAAGAATGTTTGGATGAAGTGCTGGATGAAGCATTGATAATTGGTTTTATCTTTCTCAGTTTACAAATTTGCAAGCTTTCTGGGACCTATAAGACCGTCAGATGACCTCTTTCCCATTTAGTTTGTATTCAGCTTACCTTCAGCACCTGAGTGAGCCAAGACTGCATTCTTAATCTTTGGCATGTCCTGATCTGGCTCCTGTTTACCTTTGTAGCTGTGTTGGAAAAGCCTGCTTCCTTATCTGCTCCACCACAATCCATTATGCTAGTTCATGGCATCTCAAATCACCTTTATTCTTTTCTGTGAACATTGTAAAATTTAGAAGGTTTCTCCTTTTCTATTTCTTATTGATAAGTTACCCATCTTACCCATGAGGTTCAGCTGAGATTAGCCTCCTGCAATCAACTGGGGATAACTCTAGTTGGAAATGATTTCTTAAATTTTTTTTTCTGGGATATTACAAATGTTCATTACATCTCTGTAGTTACTACATTTAGCAAACATCTACTGAGTGTGAATATATACCAGGTACACTAAACAATGTGCAGATAAATAACACTAAGTCTTTGCCTGGAAGGAACTCAATCTATTGAGATAAGATTAATAATTCTAAAACAGTGATAAGTATCCTGTGTGAGTTCTTAGTGTGATTGGGGGTGGCACAGGAGTAGGGTGTGTGCCATAGCTAGTGAATGCTTCATAGTGTAGCATTAACTAAACATTGTTTACTGAGTAGTGGGTATTATTTATAGATTGTTCTTGTTTGATCATTTTAATGTGAATTTACAAATTAGGAAGACTCGGGATAAATTACACAACTGATGGGAGACAGAGCCAGAATTTAAACCAGATCTGTCTGATATCTAAATTTGTGCATTTCCCATTATGTGCCTTACTTTCTTTTTCATGTTACATAGCTCTCTCTATGCAAATATTACATACTGAAACCACTTCAAAGGAAAAAATGTGATATCAAAATGAAAGGTGCAGAAATATAATTTAAGTATAAAGAAGACCATTATCTTCCAAGGCAAGGGGGTATTAGGATGGATCAGCTCATATTTAAAGATTAGTGTGGAAGATACTGTAGAGAATACCCATGGACTTTGGATTCAGTTCCTGGCCCCTTCTCTTACCAGGTATATGGTCCTTGGCTGGTTTCTTTAAGCATTATTTTCCTCAAGTAGAAGTTGGAATAGGAGGAGAATACTGACTTCTGAAGGGGCCCGATACATGGTGATGTTTCCAGAATGATAGCCATGTGATACAAAGGTACAATACCTATGGTATTTATACAATACCTGTATAAATCATACAGTGAGAGTTTTAGTGGGGATACTGGGAGGTAAAGAAGAGGGTCACTAGGGGTCAAAGTCAGTGAAGCTTGAGTGCCAAGCAGGAGAGGTAAGTTCCATTTTCTGCTCAGAACTTTCCCAATTAGTAAATACTTTGAGGGTCTATGACCCATTTAGCATTGTCAGGCAAAACATTAAGACCCTGGAGATGCAGAAAGGAATAAAATCACATCCTATTCTGAATTTGTAGAGATTCTAGCAAGGCAGATGTATATTTGTGTGCAGGTGAACTATAGCCAAGTATAGCAGGTATGGAAAGTAGTTCCCACAGCTGGGTGCTAGGGAGGGAACACTGACGGTGGTTAACTAGTGCCTAACCACATGCTCACATTGTGTTATGTGCATAATCTCATTCCTGAGTGGGTGCTGTAGCACCAGATTTTACAGATGAGGAAACTAGAACACAGAGAGGGTAGAATTTACGCAGCTGTGGTGCTCGAGTAGAGGGAATTATTTGCTGGACTACACCTTGTTGCTGCTTTGCCATGTGGATATGGGCCCTCAGGAGGGGCTTCAGAGAAGACCTTGCCCTTGAACTATAACTACAGTGTGCTTGTTTCTGTGCTAGGCAGGAAAGTAATGTGTAGTCCCCGCACTCAAGGAGTTGATTGCCTAATTGTGGAATGTATTGAGGGGCTCGTTTTACTTGTTGACTCAGCTGAAGACTTTAGAAACTTGTAGTTTAGTGGATTTACAGATACTTCAGCCAAGGGAATTTGCTGGAAATGTGTTACTCTGATGTACAATCTTTATTATTACTATTTTAAAAGATTTATTTATTTACACATATAAGAACTTGGGTACAGGCCAGAGAGGTGGGAGGGGGGTGAGAGGATTCACCAGAGACAGAATAGGGAACAGAACAGGCAGATTAATGAAATACTATTGAGGGGAGCAGTGGGTGAAATAGGAGAGGTCTGCTGTGCTCTGTGAGTCACCTCCCTGGCCTGGGATCACATTCTTACTACACTGGCTGCAGATAACTTCACAGTGCTGCGCTTTAACATGCTTGGGCCACCAGGTAGGGCCCCCAGGCTTTATTATTAAGGACACAACAATGTAGATAACAAGTTAAGGGAAAACGACTTCTGTCATAATGCATTTTCTCCCCATGGGAAGTGTCCTGCCCTTGTTTTCTATGAATTAGAAGTTTTGACTCAAAAGTAGTATTTCGGTGTGTTAAATTTTAAATGAGCCTGTGTATTTTAGTCACTAGTAAATGTTTTTGTATACTTTATTTCTTTTAATCTTCACGATTCTGTGAGAGTATTATCTCATTTAGCGCTCAGTGGGCTAAGGGTTAGTGGTTAAGTATGTTACCCAAGAGTGACATAGCTAGTGAGTGGTAACGCTAGGTGAATGCTTTTATTATAAAATCAGGCTTTATTTTAGGAGAGATGGGGTTTGAATGAGGAGATGACTTTATAATACTCGAGATTTGTGCTCTCAGCACTTTAAATGCTATCAGGTCTCTTGTCTCTTGATCTTCTGCAACACCATGAAGTGATCAAGAAGGGATAATCATAACCTCTTGAGATGAAGAAATTGGCACCCAGTGAATTACAGTTTAGTAGAAAGCACACTGGATTGAGAGGGACTTGAATTCTTAATACTCTGTGCCACTAGCTGCCTTTTGATTTTGGTCAAGTTGCTTAAAAATCCTTATATCTTTTTTAGTCATTTGGATGATAATGAGGAGCTCAATTCAATTCTTGCTGAGGTCTTTGCAGCCTGCCAAGCTATCTGATTCTAATTGACATGCTTAAAGTCACACTGATTACTGGCAGTCCCCAGTGGAGAATGGCTGAAATTTAAAATGCTCCCCCTCCTCTCTTAGTGGCAGGTAGAGAGCTTCTGCTCAGCTCGCCTCTGTTCTTTGTTGGTTACTTCTTCTGGGAAAAGACCTTGCCAGGCCAGGTGCTCCCCAAAATGCATACAGTGCTTTCTTGACGCTCAGTACATGAGACAGAACAGCGCCACCCAGCACAGTGAGAGAAATGTGGTCAGGGAGTTCATAGCCCAAGAGTTTCATTTATTTTTATTTTAAAAACAGCTTCCACAGGGTGCAAATTGAAGAAATATTGGTCTTCTAGATACTTGTTTCATTTATAGTCTACTGTATAAGGAAAGAACGTAGGATATAAATATGAAGAAAGTAAATCCTGAGCAGTCATTCAAAATACATTAACTCTGGTTGGTGGCAGTCTAGATGTATTGGGGAAGTAGATTGAATACAGGAAACACAAAATTTGGACCCAAAGAAGAAAAACAGTTTTCAGTAACTAAAAGTGAGAATAATGGCAGCAGTTACTTAAAAAAACTACTAAATTCTAGAAACAGGTAGATGGTATTAGGATAACTGTTAACATAATGTTATATAGTAATTTTTGCTTGTGAAATAAATTGATTAAGCCATATTTATTTCTAAATGGATGCAATGTTTATAGCTTGAATATACCTTAGGAATATGCCTTATTATTGATGCTGATAAAATGGACTGATAATATTAAGATTTAAAAAAAAAATGAACATTTTTTAGTTCCCTGTGCAATCATTTTACTTTTTCTTAAGATTTATTTATTGATGCATGCAAAACTGGAGTACTGGCCAGAAGTTCAAGGAGTGAGAGGATTCTCCAGAGACAGTGTGGGTAGCAGAACAGGCAGATTGACTGAAACACACTACTGAGGGGAGCAGCAGGTGAGAGAGGAGAGCTTCTACTGCTCCATGTGGGTCAGCTACTTGGCTGGGGATCC